GGCTAAATTTATGAAGCGACAGGACGCGTTGCCCCCACAGACGATAAGAGGAGGATTTAACAAACGAGAGAGAGAGAGAGAGAGAGAGGGGGGAAGAAAGGAGGAGAGAAAAAAAAATTATCATCTGACTTTGATTTACAACAGGAACGGAGAGCAGAATGGATGTGAGGCCGTGGAGCTGAGACCCTCCCCCATCTGCTGTCCTGTAGGACAGAGGCAGAGCCGCCATCTGCGCCTGAATCTGGTCGTACGTGTATATTTGGTCTGGCCAGGAAAAACAGGCCCGAGAACGTGCAATCCTCTGTCACGAACAGGCTACATCTCTCAGTTTCATTTCTCATTTTCACTCCTCAAACTGTTCCATTAGATCCATGTGACGTTATTCTGTTCAACTCTGTGCAGAACAGGCTCAAAAACAAGACAGGAGGAGGACAACGTGACAACTACAGTCGCTGACCTACTGACGATGACGATGGATGGATGAAGAAAGGACAATGACTCTGCTAGAACTGAAAGCTACAAAGTTTCGGATTTTTATGACCTGATGTCAGACTATTATCCTGACATATATATATATATATATATATATATATGATGTAATAAAACAAAGAAGCAAGAGCTCCTCCAAAGGAATCTGAATGTGAAAAGCCACCTTTCTACACCTGTAGAATCCCATCCTATCTCCCGCCTCCTTCACCGCCTCTTAAACATGGCCAAACATCATTGGATGGAAAAGGTATTGATATGAATGATTTTTATTTTGCACATCCATTGGTGCATCTTTCAGTCAATCAGAGAGAAAAAGACCTGGATATTCCAGAGACAGGTGGTAAGACATGTCCTGTGTCCATGATTCACACCAGATGTAATTACCAGCCTGACATTTCCCTCAGTAATTGGGTTACCAACGACTTCATTTTGAGGCAAAGGTCATTTTCTGGGACGAGTCAAAGTCGTCGGTCGGCCGTATTTTTTAAATGGACTGATAAAAGATGACTTTGCTGAATGAAAGGGAAAAGAAAAGACGAGTCACCCTGGTGTGGAGGTGATATTTACATGAGATTTACATCTTCATTGATAAGAAGACCTGGGAAAAACCTCAGCACCTGTGGAAACAACGCGTGTCATCTGCAGCTTCAAAGGTTATATTACGCTCAGCTAACGCTAACGCTAACTCCATCAGTTAGCAGCTAAATCAAAGCGTCTTTTCTGCGAGGTCTTAGTGAAGTAAGATGGCATTTATTGCAACTGAACATTTCCTCTCACCTGCCCTGACTTCATTTATACGGACACTAGGGCTGTCAATGAGTTGGAAATTTTAATCAGATTAATTGATTGATCACTTTTAATCGTGATTAATCAAAATCAAAATGTAATCACGATTAATCGCAATCAAATGATGGAATTATTGTTGTGAAAAATTGTTAAAAATAATGTGAAAAAGTACTGTATAACAGAAAATTATATTTGAATTTTCTCATTATCTTGATACACGGACTGAGATAAAAAAAGAAGGCCTGAGCTTTTAATTTGGTTCAACATTATTAATTAGCCGTTGATATTTTTTCTTCATTTATATTTATATTTATATCATTAAAATCTATGATATTTAGTCTTTAAAAAAGTGTGAATACTCAAAATGTTTTATACAGTATTAAGATTTATACGTATTAACATTTTAAGGCACACAAATAAATGAATTTGCTTTAACCTCCATACTTTAAAACTGACAATAACACCAAAAAAAAAAAAAAACAAATAATAAAAAACATGAAGCTAAATGAAAGGAAAATAAGGGGCGCGGACAAAATGAAAAGCACTATTGGACTAAGTTGTATGTGTGTAAGTTTCGTAAGTTGAACTAAAATTAAGTAAGGCAACATTTTACAAAAATTCCCCACCCACTGAGTGTTGTTATATCTATACAGTAGGTACTATACGTACTATAAATATACAATACAAATCCTGGTTAAAAAAAAAAGGTAAATTAACTTTCAGTATCTTGTTTTTACTGAGTTTTAAACAGTCAGGTTACAACAAGCTGACCGCTAACCGCTAACTGCTATAGAGTGGTAACAAGGAAGTGTCTGTGGCATTTAGAGCAATTTTGCCACTTGCTCACTTTCTGCAATTAACTAATCAGGTCAGATACGAAGAGAGCTGGCCCCTAGGTGTTTCCTAGCAACCACATTACTGAGGCTGTCCTGCAGTGTGTGTGTGTGTGTGTGTGTGTGTGTAAAGGTGAGAGTTACTGCAGCAATAAAACTGTCTCTCAGCCGTAAGTGATTGGTGACTTTCTTTTCTTTGCTATGCCAATATAGTGGAAGGCACGGAGCGTCTTTGTTTGAGCAGGCGAGGCTTTTATTACAGCGGGGAGATTGGCAGCTGCTGCAGCGTCTCTCTGACAGTGTACCCCTGCTTCACACCGGCGTCTCTGCAGCGTCTTTAGCCCTGAACTATATGGATGTTTGATGTGCTCAAAACATTGTCAATACGCTAGGCTACGTTTACTGTGCTGTCACCGCTGCAGCCACACGAGCATAAGTGGTTAACAGTGCACAGATGCAGAATCCTTGGAAAAGCCAGTAAACACAATTTCCAGGAGGCAAACAGAGCCACGGATACGCATATTTAGATTCACCTATTATCTGTTATCCTGTTATCAGAGATCCACACCAGGGGGCATATCACTTTTCATGAACACAGTTTAAGCCCAGCTGTTGAAAGCAGTGTTATTATGTCGACTCATCAATTAAATCCCCATAAAATAACGTCATTTTACGTTACATTGCACAAAGGCATTGTTTACCACACAAGTAATGGAGGCCACAACCCCCACCCCCTCAACAACACTTCTTATTAATATTTTTTATATCATTATAAAAACCTGACAGTTTAATCACACACTGGATGATTTTACCTTTATACTAATTTAATGCCCAAGTCTGGATCATTCACTTTGAGCAGGCGTCACAACAAAATGTTAATGCAAAAGCCGGCGTCTTGTAAAAGCAGCCGAGCGGCCGATGTTCGTAATGATGCAATACGCCGAATCCTGCGTCTCCGGAGCCTCGGCGGCGCATAATTATGCCGATCAACCTCAGATTAATGGACAATTAAGGTTGTTGTTTATTGCACATTAACAATATGGCCGTACGGGCCGTTGAGCATGGCAGCTTCGAGGTGTAGAGTGGCACTATTTAAGAAAGGTGTAAGAAATAATTACATTTTTTAAGGGTTAAATTTAGCTGATGCTAAGCCAGCTCATTGCCGCAGGTTTTATTTACATAAATTGTAATCATCTGCCATGCTCAAAATATCATTACAAAGGCACTGCAACATGATCTAGTTGCTTGCTTTTTTAAGTAGAACTATTGAGTTTAAGAAAAGCAGCTTTCTGCTGACAATATTGCTAATGCTGTGAAAGAGTTCATAAAAATGGAACCGAAAGTAGTCATCCTGTGACGGAGGAGGGGTTTTCAAAAGCAGTTCTGTCCCTTCCTGGCCGGCCGTTAGGTCTTCGCACTACGACAATGTTACAATATTACTATCATTGTAAGCTGTGAACAACACTGTCAACTTCATTAGCCGCTGACGACTTCATTAGGCGGCGCCGTAAGCTCGTTCATTAGCGTGAGGGGTTGGATGGTGAAAGTGACTTGGAACAAAGCTCCACTTTGATCAAACTCACTGGTCCCCAGGGGAAGGCTGCCTCTTTGTCACCATGAAATCTTGACAACAAAACCCCCAGCAGTCGCTCCTTCTCTACTTTGCACATCGCGTAAAATGTGAAGGCACACATTTGAGTCAGACGAGTCTTCAGGGGTGTGTGTGTGTGTGTGTGTGTGTCAGCCTGTTAGTGAGAGTGTTTGTTAGCTGGAAGAGCATAAGTGTGTGTGTGTATGTGTGTGTGTATGTGAACTGACAAATCTGAAGTTGCTTTGGATCTCCCTTCAGCGCTGGCTCCCACCAGCAACTCTCTGTTTTGTAGATTACAGCGGCTGTTATATTTAGAAGCTTCTTTAAGATCTGATTGATCCTGCCTGCAGTAACGGACTGAGCCACTTAAAGCCCTTAAATTTTTTCACCCAACATCTCCCTTTTATCTTAACTTTTTTATCCTAAGGTTAGAACTTTCTTACAATGAAAGAAAAAACTTAAATCTGAGCTTTGGCGCAGCTCGCACAATCGTATGAAACGGGAGAAAGGACTGGAAAAACATAGTAAACACATCTCATCTACGGGCAAATTCAGAACGTCCAATCATCATATGGAAGCACAGCAAATGTTTAAATGTAAAACATAATAAAAACTATAAAAATTAAGTCATAAAATAAATAGATTTGAATTATATGTATTATACATACACATATATCTACATATATACATATATATCTGTTCATATATACATACATATGTAAACATATATACATACATACACATATATATTGCTAAATACATATACACATACATATACACATATATACTGCTAAATACTATATATGTGTATATATACTGTATATACACATGTATGAGTATAAACATATTTAGTTATATATTGCTATATCATTACTGTATATTTCTTTATATTGACTGTCTGCCTATAATGTATATTGAAATAAATTGAGGACAAATATCGAAATGAATGTGTAAATTAATAGTAAAATTAATCAGATTTAAATATTTAAGGCACTTTATATCCAACAATTCCAACCTTCAGCCACTTTCTTCAAAAAACACAGTCAAGAACCATCTTGTTATTTGCACACACTGCTGGAAGACGCTTCACTGAAGCTCTGCCAGCTGTAAATACTGTACAACCTCAATACCTAGCATGTATTTTTTGAGGCTTCAGCTTCAGCTTCAGCTCAAACCCTCAACTTATGTCAAAGTGTATTTTTTGAGGCTTCAGCTTCAGCTCAAACCCTCATAACCGACTTATGTCAGAAAAACATCTATGGCATTTTTTGAAAGTTTTAATGTATATTTTCAGTATCTACCTGCTTTGGACATCTTGGAGCCTGATGTTCAAGTTCTCTCCATCCTTTAAAAAAACAAACAAACAACAATTTTAAAGTGTTCATTCCAGGCCACTAGAAAGCAGACCAATTATAAAAAATCCTCATGAAATCAAACACCCAACTTCAGAGCTCTTTAAAGCCCCAGAGAGCCACTATGCTTTGCAGCGCGCACTTTGGTAAGTAAGTGTGGTTAGCAGTAAACGACGTTAATCATGCACCAACTGTGTTGTGGAAACGTTTGAAGTGTTGCTGAGTAAATGCCCGACAGCCCAGAAGAGCCAATAACGGCTCATGTCAATCACAGCTCCTCCACCATACACTCCCGGTTCAGGACCGTGACTCGAATAAGATTTAATTGAATTTATTTTTTCGTATCTCAACTCAAACGGACATACAGCAGGACTGTCACTTCCTGCAATGAAGTTGAAAGAATTATTACGTGGATGGATTTAATCTCCAATGACATGACAGCTGATCTAACGCGCGGCGCTAGCTTCCTGCCTTCAATCATTTGCAATTGTACATTACGGCGTGTACATACACTACAGCGCAATATCAGCAATAGCAAGTGACAACTTCTAAAATGCATTTGTATTATTCACTCACTTCATCGTCTTCATTGATTTTGATCATAAAAGAAAATCACTTTTCCCGCTCAACAAATTCAGAACGCACAATTTCGCATTCTGTCCTTGTTTATGAGCAAAAACGCATGAAAAGTCGCAGTCGGTCGTCGACTTGAACCGTTGGCATTAAAGCTCTTTTACAATGGGTAACCAACAGGGGGCAGTGCACAGGAGAAATGCTTGAGTGACATTCGGATTATGTATGTTCACACATTAATGATTTTGAAAGCATTAAAAAAGTCCAAAATCCTTTTGAAAAACAAAACAAAACAACGCTCCTGGAACTTTTCAATTGAATGCTAATTTGATTGTGTATTCTTTACTGTTGCATTATATTTATCTCTTTGTGCTATTGTTTCATTGCCTCATTGTCTTCTGTAAAAACAAACAAAAAAATTCTCTTCTCCTGGGAGACCTTCATCTGGTTTATTAAAAAAAAACATTTTTTTTATTCCTTATAATGTTCCATGTTTGACTTGCAGTGATTGAATTAGGAAAAACAAGTTCAAGGCCTGCGTCGACATGTAATCCCTCATTGCTCCTCATTATACATCAAATAATCCTATCGGATCACCAGATTAGAATCACGTTTCCCCGATCAGTGGTAGATCCAGAGTGGGATTACTGCGGCCGTACGGAGGATTTTAACGTCTTTACAGTCTACAAATATCATTTATCTCCTGATTGGTCGTTGATACAGATGGAATTATTGTTAATTTTTTTTTCTGGTGCTGAATATCACCGAGTCAAAAGTCAGGGCAATTATGTCAGCTCAAACCCAGCGCCTGATGTGAGATTTGATTCATGTAGACGCTTCACTTTCATAGCAGCGGTGTCCATGGCAACAAAACCCTGCGTGAAATGTACTTGAAATCTGACAGTTGATTGGTGTGAACATCCTGATTTCACAGCCGGAGAGTCTATTACTCTCTGGAGGAGCATCAGCCTCGTCCTAATCAGATTCGTGACCCATCGTGGCGAACGGTCGGAAAGGGATATTCAAAGACAAGGCAGGAGTACGGCAGAGTATGTATTCGTATTTATCTCGTACTTCCAACGCTCCGATCTGATTGGCTCCACTATCGGAGCCTGGGTCTCCCTGGGCGATTTGGCAGCTAACTGAGGAAACCGGTGTCCTGACATATTACAGAACTTGTAAAACATGCTTTCCAACCAACTTGTTCTGTGTAATTAATCATGTGGAAATTAAAGTAAAGGGAGAGGCTTCGACCTGGTCCTCGGAGGGTTCACCTGTGTCCGCAGCACTGGACTATTTTTACATTATTTTCAATTATGGTCTGGAACAGACAGGGATCCCTGAGGAAGGTAGCCTCGTTTTTTTTATTTTTTTTTTTATGCCAAGTTCCTGTCATTGACTCACACTCCTTATTTAGCTGAGCTGTAGAAATGCAGTTGTATGCTGCAGAAAATCTTTCCCCCCTGCTCCTCCTCTTCCTCATCATCCTCCTCCTCCTCCTTTTCAGATCAGAGGCCTGATTTGACAGGAGGTGCAGGATTCCACTTGTTTCACACCCTCTCTCTTTGCTTTAGCACAACGAGCATTTTAGCGCCACACAAAGGTGTTGTTAAAGTGATGACTTAGCCGTAGAGATTTTTTCCGTTTTTTTTGTTCTCTGGTTACTTTTGCGGAACGTTACACACGCAGCTGCAAAAGAACTGGTGTCGACCACGCTCTATTTCACAGAACTACTTTTCGCCTACATGACAAAGTCATCGGCATAGGTAGAGTCCAGAATAGAGACTTGTCTTGTTATGCACCCAACACTTTGTTTAGTGTGACAGTGCTTTAATTAATACACGCTCTGGGGGCTGCGGGAGTGGACCGAGAGTCTGTGGTGATTGGCAGATAGATTAATATTGTCAGACCTTGGAGATTTATGTCACATTGCACTTGAAGCTATTGTTACTTGTTTCAAGGACAATTTCCCCTACCAGCCCCTCCCCCCGCCCCTTCCCTCTCTACTCCTGCCACCGTTGATGCACTGGAAAAAGAGACAGTCAGGCTTGGACTCGGTATCATTCAAATCAAAGCTGCAGAAAATAAGTGCAGGAGCCCGGGGGGAGACGAGAGTTTGTCTTTGTGCAGAGTGAACTGACACCTCTCTCTGCTGCTACGATGGCTTGTAAGAAAGAAAGAAAAAAAATGGAACGATTCACACCAGTTGTTTTTCTAACTGCCCTCCAACAGTGATCGTCCAATTATAGCCCAGCAACTATGACTGGGAACCGCAGGCTTGTCAGCTTTGGGTTTCTCTGCATTTTGGTGGGGAAAAAAAGAGGAAAAACTTGTACTGTACTTGTATTTGTAGGAGTAGGTTTCATTAGACTGGTTCTGTGAGGATAGAACAGAACTAATAAAACACCACCCAGGTTCAACACACACAGAAATCACTACTCTTTTATGGTCTCAGTGTCTGACCAAAAATAGACCTAAACTTCTTCACATCGTCATACCTAAAATCACTGCTTTTACGAAACCTACCTTCTTTGAAATCTTCACTTATGAAACTGCAACACAATCCTTTTTATTATGAATCCTTTTTAGGGATTATCAACAAGAAAGATGAGGTCCGTGGCCCTGATATGGCACAGTTTAATGTATGTGACAGTTACAGTTGCAGTAAGTGTCCAGTAGGAGAATAATTCAGTGTGGCACTGACTCAAACTCCTCACATGCCAAATGTAGTGAAAATATATTATTCCAATTATACACAGAACAAAAAATAGACATCAGTTGAAAGGTATTAATATAAAGAAACACTGACCCTCATCTTACCCTCGTATAGTTGTTATTAGGACTTAAAACAGTAATAGATACTTTTAAAAACACAAATAAATTAAAATCTGTTGGAAACACAACTATAGCTGCAGATGCTAATTGATGTAATTTTATTTGAATAAGCTGTATTAACAGACGGTTTAGCTTCACTGTTGCGAACTCTCCCCGGTTAAAAATTCCCCTCCAATCAAAACCACGACGCTGCCTTTTAAAGACGTTACAGCCGAGCAGGTTTAGCAACAACCCAACAGGAGTGCAGTTAAGATCATATATCTGGTATTTAAACACAACACATAATACATTTATATTTTTATTTGGCTGCATCCAGAGAGAAAAAAAAAGTGGACTTCATCCCTGATAAGTGAGCGTTTTCTCAGTCCTTGGACATCCTTCATGTTTTCATTTGTTCCTCGTGCGTTTTTAAGGTCAGGGTGTAAATCAAATCACAGACGTGCCTGAGAGCCAGTGGTACTTTACAGCTAGCACAGCTTTAACTCTACCAGGGGCCATCTTTCACTTCCTAGACTGCACATTTTATTCCATATTTTCCCCTTCACCTCGCACTGCTCCCATACGGCTTCCACATCGTTTGTGCTCTGCCTCGACTCTGCCTTGGGCTCAACTTTGGAATGAGTCTGTCTCTCGGAGCTGATTGGCAGCTGGGTTACAGCCGCAGACAGCCTCCGACTTCCCGCGCCGTGCTATTGTCTTATAAGTTGCATATTAATACATATGATGAAATAAAAATAACTCTGAGTGCAACGCGAGGTTACGAAAAGTAACTTTGGCAAAAGAAATCCAGACACGATGCTGGTCAGGCCATTAAAGCAGATCACACACACACACACACACTCGAGGGGCCCACCCTGCCCCCCCCCACATGCTCTCAGTCTCTCTTCTCACAGAGACATAATCAAGGAGTCGTCACCTTGTCTGTTAAAAAACAAAAACAATCATAACCAGTGTAATATATTCTGCTTCTGTGCAGTATATCCACAGTTGCAGCAGCTGTCACACAGATCATCTCAGATCTCAGATCAGTGTTTTTTTTTCCTTCTCTATATATCACTGTGCATACACTTCATAATATATTTCCATTAATACAATAATAATACATTTATTTATATATATTTCTTTTTTCCTCGCGTGTCCTTCTCTGTCACTTCTTCTTCTTTTTTTATTGATGCAACGTGTCAATTTCCCCAGTGAGGGATCAATAAGGTTTAATCTAATCTAATCTAATCCAATCAACTTCATGTCCAATCAGAGCTGAGATCAACGGAAATCTATGCACGTTTAAACATCAGGAAAGAGCAAACCTGCGCTGTCAAAAACGAAAAAACTAATTAAATTAAAAACATGTTTGTGATGTCCTAATGGGGCCGCCAGCCACAGGTTGGGAACGAGACTCTTTATAAACTAGAGAGAATATGAAGAAAAATAAAGGATGAAGTCAATGTAATTGTAGCAGTAGTTTACAGTATACAATTTATACATTAAAGTGTCAAAGTGGTAAGTATACAAATGTTGAAAAGTATTGCAGTTTTACCTTATAAAGTAGTTGACGCCGCCTGTGACACTTTGACGTTTTTAAATATCTCGTT